TGTTGGGTCTGACATGAGTATTTCGAGGAGTTACAAACGGAATGACAAAGTTAATATACCCTCAATAGTATGGTGGAGGGCATAAAAAGGCTAAGCAGAGATTTACGGTTTAAAAAAAAAACCGTAAAAAAATATTTGTAAAGAATTAGTATTTATCCTTAATATATGTAACAACATTTCGATTAACAACATTATAGTAACAACATCTATAGTAATACTAGTGTCAAGCTCAATACATGTAGGTGAAGGGTTGTATTTTTTTGGACATTCGCTTTCTGGTCGACCTTATAATTGGGCCATGATATAGTCTAAACCATGGTATAATTATTACAGGTAGCAGCAAGTCCCAACTCATTTGACTCTATAGTAATACTAGTGTCAAGCTCAGTATGACGTTTTGTGATTTTATTCCATTTCTTGATATACAATAGGTATATCATTTTTAAATATAAAATTTATCTGCAGGGCAATGTAAACATTTTTGGCTTATAATAATAGAAAAAATCGCCCTTGTACTTAACAAAACGCCAACTGCGATGGTTAAAAAGTTGTGACACCCCATTAAGCAACATAGTCGTATATTTCATGTTTCCTAAAATTGCAAAATGTAGAATACCTTATGTGTGTATGCAGTTTGCTTTCAATTTGAAAGGGATGTTGCTTTTTCCACGATTTTCTAGCGATTGCTTGAAGTGTTGAGAGATTAGGACATACAGCTAACAACTGTACATTCAGGGGAATTGTATGAAAACATTCAAACTAAACAATTGAGGAAGTATTCTTCTGCATTTTAAATTTAATAATCCAAATTCCAAAATTGTATATTTTTGAAATTAAAAAAATTTATGGAAAATTAATTATTTTATTTACATTTTTGGACATATAACTCTGACACTTGTATTACGTACAAAAACAAATTTGTATGTGGTTGTTGTTACGATTGTTGTACAACAACACTTGCTGTTACCTGTATTTTTCTACCATGAGTCTAAACGTACCATTCATTGTACAATCATGTGTTCCATGGTAGAAGAATACGAATACGGTAGACGCATCGACACAGCTGTTGGGACAATGAAATGTCAAACCAATTTTAGAATTGAAAATGTTGAATAGAAAATTACTCAAATTTTGTAAAAATTGCTGGAAAACGCGAATTATAATAATATCCGAATGACGTCGTATAAGAAAACGTATAAAATTTACTTATATTTGACAGACCATTTAAAATGTTTTGACATATCAATGTTCCCAAGCGTCGATGCATCTACTTGTATTCTTCTACCAAGCGTGTGTTTTAACTCCAACGATAGGAGATTGAACAGCACAATATCTTAAATACTTAACGCCGTCATAAGATCTGCAATTTTACATTTAGTTCCAATTACAATATTTTTTTCTGACGTTTTTATATGAAGGCTTCCACAGCCATATTTCGTCCTGACCACCATGGAATATCAGAAAATTGGAAAATTTGTTCTACCAAAAGATGATTTGGAGAACATTTTATATGCTAAAATACTCGTTAGGATCTTTACTCTCATTTGAAATTCATAGTTTTTGGACGTTTTTATATGAAGGCTCCCAGAGCCGTATTTCGTCCTGACCATTGATACGAAAATGTTCGCGAAAACCTCATTTCAACAATTCTAATAGTTCATTTTGGACGAGGTTTGAATAGGGAGACCTCCAGAGGCGATCTTCTGTCCTGACCACCAGTTGGAAATCAGAAAGTCTCCAACTTTGTTCTACCAAAAACTGAATTTGGACTAAGTATTGATTCCCTGAGGGTGTTTGTCAGTTCACCTAAGAGGCGCGTCCCCACCGTCGGATGGGGGGATGGATGATCGCACTATTTTGCTCGAACTAGGCCGTCTAGCTACGAACTGGGTGGAGCGGAATAGTTTAATCACCCGTCCGTGGGAGTTTTTACTCCCTGCGGACAAGAAACTATCTACGGGGGTGTTCCCCAAAAACAAAAAACAAACATGGAAGAATAAAGAAAGAAAAAGTAACTGTGCAGGGCCTAAATAACCCAGTACCGGCGGATGTTTGTGATCCAGCCACGAGTCACACCCTGTCGTCATCCAACGATCGTCAGAACAAAAAAGCAGTCTGGGGCCAACGGCGAAAGCTCAAAGGCAACAAAACACTAAAAATTCTAAGGATGTTCCAAAGGGGACTACAAATACTCCCCAACTCCGTTGGAGGCAGGGAAGAGAATAAGGTCCCCTGAGGAACAGAACACTGCTAAGTCGGCGAAAAAGAGCTTCCCACCTGCATATGCTCCGGGCAAACTACGTCAAGGACCTCGCAAAGGAGGCTGTAAAAGGAATCCTTTGACCGAGGGCGAGAAGGTAAGCCCCAGCACTGGAAAGGTGTGCCCGACCGTGAAATCGACTGCTAAACCAGTCTTACAAAGACTATGGGCATGGCATTCTATATCTCTAACGCTGTCAGGTTCATAAATAATAAGGTGAGGACCGGAGACGAAGACAGTCTAGCAGCGAGGAGGAGAAAGAAGACCCCCCAAGCAACACAGAACAGGTAGTCGGCGACAAAATTACCGACTCTCAAGAAGACCGTTTACTGGAGGACCAATGATCGAGGTCATCAAGACCAACCTTCATCGGAGTGAAACGGTAACCTTGGCTCTGATGAAACTAATAAATTCAGGTAAGATTCACATTGGTTTAATTTAGGAACCTTGGACAGTTCAGACCAGGGTCTTTGGACTAAACCATATAAACTGCCAACTATTCTATGCCAACACAGGGTCTCGACCAGGAACTTGTATAATATGTCACCAAAACGTATGTTCTCTTTTCTCCCACAGTTGTCAACATCGGACGCAACAGTACTAAGGCTGGGGAAAGGAAACATATACCTAGCGTCCGTTTACCTACCGTTCGACGCGCCGACATCACCACCTTCGTAGGAACTGCAGCGGCTGGTGAGCAAAACAAAACAAACAGGTAACGAAGTATTAGTAGGTAGCTCTGCTAACTCTCACCATATTGCGTGTGGTAGTACTAACATTAATAAAAGGGACCAGTCCCTACTAGATTATCTAAATACTAACGACCTAATAATTCTTAACATTGGGAGTAAGGCGACCTTTGTAAACAAAATTAGGGAGGAGATTTTAGACATTACTTTTTGTTCAGGACATCTTAAAAACGAGATTCAGAATTGGAGGGTTTCGGAAGAACACTCTTTCTCGGATCATAGGAATATAAGGTTTGAGCTAACACGGCCCTCCCGGAGCCAATAAGTTTTAGGAACAAATCCAAGACTGACTGGATGAAGTATGGGAGACTAGTAAAAGAGAGGCTAGGGCAGGGAATTGAATGCCTAAGCACAGACGACGTAGACAGATATGTCAATAGGTTAACGGAGAACCTAGTAAAGTCTTTCGAGGAATGTTGTCCACTTCGAGAGAGAGGTAATCTACCTTCTGTCCTGATCACCAGTTGGAAATCAGAAAATCTCCAACTTTGTTCTGCCAAAAACTGATTTTGAATTAAGTATAGATACGAAAATGTTGGTGAAGACGTCTTTAATTCTAATAGCTCATTTTGGGCGAGTTTTGAATAGGGCATCCTCCAGATTCGGTCTTCTGCCCGGCCCCCAGTTGGAAATCAGAAAATCTCCAACTTTGTTCTACCAAAAACTGATTTTGGACTAAGTATTCGTACCAATATCCGTGAAGACCTCCTCTTTAATTATGTTATATTCCACCTTCAGTGGCGCTATGGTGTGGTTCGACTTGCTCAGACGGTGGCACTTTCAGGGGGTTCCCAACCCTGCCGCCACTAGCACAAGGGGAAGAACAATAAATATAAATTGTTGTACCTAACACACACATAAAACGAAACGATTACATATTTGACGTGCCACTATGACATGGAAGCTTGATGATAAATGCTTAAACACTGAGCCCGCCCAACCTGGATCCTTTCGTTCCCTATAATTATTCCTTTTTAAAGTGTCCCTTTTTCCACGCACTCTTTTACCCCAACACAGCATACCTCTAGCTTCCTCCCTCACATAAAATTTAGCACAACATAACGTAATTTACGTTTTCACACAACAAAAAACGACATTTATTGACATAGTCAGTTTATTTAACACTAATATTAATAAAACCTTGGTTTTGCTTATACTCTTACTAGGATCATTAACGCCGCATTTAAAAAAAATAGATGGAGTCATTGACTCAGATTACTTTATATTACGGATAGTTGCTTAGCCCACTCTTTTTATTTCGCTTGGCTTATTATACACACCTGCCTAACAGAGCTCTTTTAGTAGGTTTAGGAAATCTTCAATTTGGCCCATAGGTTTAAAAAATTCAAGAAGGACTATCTGTACTTCAGGGGTACTACTGCACTCCTATAATATACCAGTCTGGCATTAATAACCCATCACAAATCAATTCACTTATGCACTATTCACACCAACTACTAATTAGCCTTCTTATAACTACACAGATAGTTTCATATATTGTGGAATTCCTTTTTTAAGTTATCGCATTTGTGTGGTGATTAATATGTTTTTATACCCTCCACCATATGCTAGGAACACAATTGGAGCGAACGACGAATTTCGCCCTACGCGGCGACAAAATGTGCCGCGAAAATTCGTCGTATGGAACACAATACCGACGAAATTATAAAACAGCTGATGAAGTTGTTTACTTTTTGCTCATTTGTTGACTACAATGAATTATACAAGAATACATAATTCTTTACGTTCTCTATTATAATTTCACTTATGTCCATCTTCTCTATTATAAATTCACTGATATCCATCTTCACTCTGGACCATAACAAATTTTAAAGTAAAAAGTAACTTTATTTACTAAAACACATAAAATTCGTACAAGTATGGCCACCTTGTACTGTTTTGTTCGCCGGTCGCCGGCGTATGAAATAGAAATAATGCTAGAAACACAATTGGAGCGAACGACGAATTTCGCCCTACGCGGCGACAAAATGAGCCGCGAAAATTCGTCGTATGGAACACAATACCGACGAAATTATAAAACAGCTGATAAAGTTGTTTACTTTTTGCTGATTTGTTGACTACAATGAATCAGAGAATTGTAAAGTTAATTAAAATTGTTAAAATAATAAACATAATGCATATTATAGTAAAAGCTTATCTGCTTGTGCGAAAACGTTTACGGAGAAGATGGTGGGTACGGCCAGTGAACATTAAAAGAAACACTGAAGGATTCCAGAGAATGGCTTTTACGGAGCTAAAATTAAGAGATGAAGAGCACTTCTTTAAAGCTACAAGGATGACCGTGGAGAAGTTTAATGCTCTTCTAGATTTGCTTAAACCACGATTGCAAAGATTTTCAAAAAGAAAGCCAATTGACGAGGAAACACGTTTGGGCTTAACTCTAATGCTAGGAACACAATTGGAGCGAACGACGAATTTCGCCCTACGCGGCGACAAAATGAGCCGCGAAAATTCGTCGTATGGAACACAATACCGACGAAATTATAAAACAGCTGATGAAGTTGTTTACTTTTTGCTCATTTGTTGACTACAATGAATTATACAAGAACACATAATTCTTTACGTTCTCTGTTATAATTTCACTTATGTCCATCTTCTCTATTATAAATTCACTGATATCCATCTTCACTCAGGCGCAAGTACTCAAATAAATAAACAAATTAATTATGTTTTTTTTATACGAGTAACAGATAGTAGAGTGACCATAACAAATTTTAAAGTAAAAAGTAACTTTATTTACTAAAACACATAAAATTCGTACAAGTATGGCCACCTTGTACTGTTTTGTTCGCCGGTCGCCGGCGTATGAAATAGAAATAAAGCTAATTGAGTTCGCGGCGACCGACGAAATTTTCGCCGGTGCCGTGATTGTGTGCACTTCCATATACACATATGTGTTTTATTTTTGACGACGAACATACGCCGCGAAAAAATTCGTCGTTCGCTCCAATTGTGTTCCTAGCATAATGTAAGTGTTTGCTGAGAACTAATTTCCAGACAACAATTGATCCATATATTTTATTGCCAGATACCTAGCTCATGGTTGCAGTACACAGTTTTTGGCATGGACATACAAAATGGGTGTTTCGACTGTGAGAAAGATAATTTATGAAACTTGCGATGCGATCTGGAGCGAGCTCCATGAGGTATATGTTTCCCAACCTAATCACCACAAGTGGAAAAGCATTGCTGAAAGGTTTGGAAACTTAAATGTATAGTGTTAAATAAAATAATAATATATGATATATTTATTTGAAAAGATTTTACACGAAAACAGGCATGCCGCATTGTGTTGGGGCTATTGATGGCAAGCATGTCAACATCTTTTGTCCAAAAAATAGTGGTTCACTTTTTTATAATTATAAAAAAAGTTTTAGCATTGTGCTAATGGCGGTATGTGACGCGGATTATAATTTTATGTTTGTTGATGTTGGAGCTTTTGGCAGCCAAAGTGATGGTGGAGTCTTTGCAAGAAGTTCGTTTGGAAAAATGATTTTGAGAAATCAAATTAATCTTCCCCCTGATGATAAACTACCTGGTAAAAGATTTTGTACATTTAATTATAGTAATTAAATTTTGAGTTTATACATTTAGGCACTGATAAAACGTTTCCGTATTTCTTTGTGGGAGACAATGCTTTCCCTTTGAAGAGAAATTTAATGAGGCCATATCCTGGACGAAGCTTGTCTGCCGCTAAACAAAATTTTAACAAAAAGTTATCTGCCGCTCGTGTATACATTGAAAACTCTTTTGGCATTTTAACAAACAGGTGGAGGATTTTACATACAAACATTCAAGTGTCACCCAAAAACGCAGATAAAATAGTTTTAGCAACGGTAGTTCTTCATAATTACCTAATGTTAGATAAAACCTGCGGATATTTTGAAGAAAGTTTGGTGGATCACGAAGAAAATGGAGTAATTATTCGTGGTACATGGAGGCAGGCATCAGAATCCCAGCCTTCTATCCGAATTTCCCATGCCAACCGTTCATCAGCAAGTGCTTTTGCTGTGAGAGACGAATTAACAAACCACTTTTTTGAAATTCATTCCTGAAAAATTTCTTCGAATTCAATTTCATTAATATTTTAGTAATCAAAAACATAAAATAGTAATAAAACAAAACCAAAACTCAAATGTATTTAATACAAACTATATACTAAGGCAACATTTAATGTCATTTCAGTCATAATTAAAAAAAAAACTTAAAAAACAAAAAAAGAAAAAATTCAGTTCATAGAATTGAAATTTAAAATTAAAAAAAAATCAAGGTATGTTCTGGGCAATTTCCTTGTAAACTAAGCTCACGACCTTAGCCTCGATTTCTGACATTGTGACCTGTGGTAAATTCGACTCAATTAGTTTTTGGGCCAAGCTTTCGAAAAGCAACAAGGTTGAGTTGCGGCTAATTTCACTCCCTGAAGCAATTTCTCTTACAGAATTTGCACACTCCTGCATAACCTGCTTGAAGACCGTAGTTATTTCTGCGTCCGCGTGCTTCTTGGTGTACTTCGGCGGAGGTTCGTTTGCTTGGCTGCTGCTTTCGTCAGTTAGCAGAAAATCGTTGACAGAAGACGACGAGCAATCAAGAATGCTTGGCAAATCATTGTCTATGTTATCAATGTTTCCAATTGTTCTACTCAAATGAAAACACATTAAAATTTGGTAGTAACATATTAATAGAATGTAATTACGTTCGTGCATCTTTGTAGTCATCTAAAAACTCCAGCGACTCCATATATCTCCATCTTTTAGATGGGCTTGGTGCGCCACTTCCGGAAGCAAGCTGAGCTGCTCTTTTGCGCCTCTTGTAGGTATCTCGGAGCCCTTTCCACCGTTTCCTGCAAGCTTCACCTAAATTTTTCAATTAAAGATATAAAGAAATGTATGTAAGTACATGTGTAAAACAACATTGTCATTTATTTCTTGCTTACCCGACAAATTGACCAAGCTGCCAATTTCCTCCCATACTTCCGTCTTTTTTTTGAACATTCTTGTAGTCTTTTGAGGCCAAATTATACAAGAACTCATAATTCTTTACGTTCTCTATTAAAATTTCAGTTATGTCCATCTTCTCTATTATAAATTCACTGATATCCATCTTCACTCAGGCGCAAGTACACAAATAAATAAACAAATTATTTATGTTTTTTTATACGAATAACAGATAGTAGAGTGACCATAACAAATTTTAAAGTAAAAAGTAACTTTATTTACTAAAACACATAAAATTCGTACAAGTATGGCCACCTTGTACTGTTTGTTCGCCGGTCGCCGGCGTATGAAATAGAAATAAAGCTAATTGAGTTCGCGGCGACCGACGAAATTTTCGCCGGTGCCGTGATTGTGTGCACTTCCATATACACATATGTGTTTTATTTTTGACGACGAACATACGCCGCGAAAAAATTCGTCGTTCGCTCCAATTGTGTTTCTAGCATAAAGCTAATTGAGTTCGCGGCGACCGACGAAATTTTCGCCGTTGCCGTGATTGTGTGCACTTCCATATACACATATGTGTTTTATTTTTGACGACGAACATACGCCGCGAAAAAATTCGTCGTTCGCTCCAATTGTGTTCCTAGCATTAGCTTTATTTCTATTTCATACGCCGGCGACCGGCGAACAAAACAGTACAAGGTGGCCATACTTGTACGAATTTTATGTGTTTTAGTAAATAACGTTACTTTTTACTTTAAAATTTGTTATGGTCACTCTACTATCTGTTACTCGTATAAAAAAAACATAATTAATTTTTGAGTTTTGCCTTATTAAGGCGAAGATCATATGTTTTATGATTTAAGTGTTTGTTTTCTCTTTCGAGACGAGCTTAATGATCTGAAATTTGCAGTGAAAAGGAAAGCCAGATAGACACTATCACACACTCACCACTATGCGACGCGTTTCGCCGTTGGTTAAGCGGCTCATCAGGCATATTTGATGTGGATGATGGCTTACAAGGGCCGTTCTCTGGAAAGTAGTATATATTTCGAACTTATTGCAAAATTAGCATATGTGAATTATACACTAGAAACTCTCCAGGTTCGACTCAAGTTCTATTGGCAGATCTTTTTCACAGCAACGTTTTTGTTTTTGTAGTGATGGATTTTTTGTCCACAACAACTACATTGCTTCCAATGCATACACTTGTTTTAGTGCTGCTTTAGGAAGACGGGTTAATGGCTCTGAACGTAGAGACGGCAACTTCTAGTTGGCTGCACACAGAGGTCCGCGGTTCAAATCCCACAGCCAGGCTCGGCTGAATTTTTGAGTTTTGCCTTATTAAGGCGAAGATCATATGTTTTATGATTTAAGTGTTTGTTTTCTCTTTCGAGACGAGCTTAATGATCTGAAATTTGCAGTGAAAAGGAAAGCCAGATAGACACTATCACACACTCACCACTATGCGACGCGTTTCGCCGTTGGTTAAGCGGCTCATCAGGCATATTTGATGTGGATGATGGCTTACAAGGGCCGTTCTCTGGAAAGTAGTATATATTTCGAACTTATTGCAAAATTAGCATATGTGAATTATACACTAGAAACTCTCCAGGTTCGACTCAAGTTCTATTGGCAGATCTTTTTCACAGCAACGTTTTTGTTTTTGTAGTGATGGATTTTTTGTCCACAACAACTACATTGCTTCCAATGCATACACTTGTTTTAGTGCTGCTTTAGGAAGACGGGTTAATGGCTCTGAACGTAGAGACGGCAACTTCTAGTTGGCTGCACACAGAGGTCCGCGGTTCAAATCCCACAGCCAGGCTCGGCTGAATTTTTGAGTTTTGCCTTATTAAGGCGAAGATCATATGTTTTATGATTTAAGTGTTTGTTTTCTCTTTCGAGACGAGCTTAATGATCTGAAATTTGCAGTGAAAAGGAAAGCCAGATAGACACTATCACACACTCACCACTATGCGACGCGTTTCGCCGTTGGTTAAGCGGCTCATCAGGCATATTTGATGTGGATGATGGCTTACAAGGGCCGTTCTCTGGAAAGTAGTATATATTTCGAACTTATTGCAAAATTAGCATATGTGAATTATACACTAGAAGCTCTCCAGGTTCGACTCAAGTTCTATTGGCAGATCTTTTTCACAGCAACGTTTTTGTTTTTGTAGTGATGGATTTTTTGTCCACAACAACTACATTGCTTCCAATGCATACACTTGTTTTAGTGCTGCTTTAGGAAGACGGGTTAATGGCTCTGAACGTAGAGACGGCAACTTCTAGTTGGCTGCACACAGAGGTCCGCGGTTCAAATCCCACAGCCAGGCTCGGCTGAATTTTTGAGTTTTGCCTTATTAAGGCGAAGATCATATGTTTTATGATTTAAGTGTTTGTTTTCTCTTTCGAGACGAGCTTAATGATCTGAAATTTGTTTATTTATTTGTGTACTTGCGCCTGAGTGAAGATGGATATCAGTGAATTTATAATAGAGAAGATGGACATAAGTGAAATTATAATAGAGAACGTAAAGAATTATGTGTTCTTGTATAATTCATTGTAGTCAACAAATGAGCAAAAAGTAAACAACTTCATCAGCTGTTTTATAATTTCGTCGGTATTGTGTTCCATACGACGAATCTTCGCGGCTCATTTTGTCGCCGCGTAGGGCGAAATTCGTCGTTCGCTCCAATTGTGTTCCTAGCAATACTATGGAGGGTATATTAACTTTGTCATTCCGTTTGTAACTCCTCGAAATACTCATGTCAGACCCAACAAAGTATATATATTCTTGATCAGCGTAAAATTCTAAGTCGATTTAGCGATGTCCGTCTGTCTGTCTGTCTGTTGTAATCACGCTATCTTTCGAATAAATTGAGATAGATGGCTAAAATTTTGCACACATGTTTATTTTTCCAGTAGGCAGGTTAAGTTCGTAAATGGGCCATGTAGGTCCACGTTTTCATATAGCTCCCATATAACGGTACCTCCGGATTTTCGGTATTTTGATGATTTTAGCGACGTTATTCACCGGAATTGTTTCAAATTTGGTATTTTAAGTTCCAAATGGATACTACACCCTAAGATAGAAAATTATCTGTGCAAGTCTATGTCTTCGTATAGCCCCCATATAACGGTACCTCCCGATATTCGGTATTTTGATGATTTTAGCGACATTATTCACGGGAATTGTTTCAAATCTGGTATTTGAAGTTCTAAATGGATACTACACCCTAAGACAGAAAATTGTCTTTGCAGGTCCACGTCTTCGTATAGCCCCAATATAACGGTACCTCCCGATATTCGGTATTTTGATGATTTTAGCGACATTATTCACGGGAATTGTTTCAAATCTGGTATTTGAAGTTCCAAATGGATACTACACCCTAAAACAGAAAATTGTCTTTGCAGGTCCACGTCTTCGTATAGCCCCAATATAACGGTACCTCCCTATATTCGGTATTTTGATGATTTTAGCGACATTATTCACTGAAATTGTTTCAAATTTGGTATTTTAAGTTCCAAATGGATTCTACACCCTAAGACTGAAAATTGTCTGTGCAGGTCCACGTCTTCGTATAGCCCCCATTTTGATGATTTTAGCGACATTATTAACCGGAATTGTTTAAAATTTGATATTTGAAGTTCGTTATGGGAACTACAGTCTGTGACAGAAAATTGTCGGTGCGGGTCCAGTTTCGAATTTGAATATGGTAATGGCTTATGACAAACAATGCATATGTATGTCCACGTCGTATAGACCCCAACATAACGGCTATATTCGGTATTTTTAAAATTTTAACAGAATTTTATTTTTTGAAAATTTCCAAATTCGTTGTAAATGGTGGAGGGTATTAAAAGTTCGGCCCGGCCGAACTTACTGCTTTTTAACTTGTTTTTTTTTAATTTAAAAGCTGAATGATTTATTTAAGCGCTTTTTCTTATTTTTTGACACGGCATAGGCGAAATTCAAATTGGGGGATACCAATCCTCCATGGAAAAAAGCAGACCTCCTCTCACGTACTTCTTGAGGAGGCCCACGTATATCTTGTTGTGATGGGCGCTTTCTGTTTGATTGTACGCCACATGCATTGGATTGTTGATGCCCTGTTTTTGCATGGAACAGTTCGAGAATGGTTGTTGCTGCCGCTGCATATGTACACTGTTAACATGCGATACATTTTGGGCAATGTCGCTGGAGATGTTGGCGGGTGAATTCATACCATGTGGTGCAATTTTATTCAAGTCCTAGGTGTTGAGATTATGTCCAGCATTGGCCTTAATATGTAATTTATCGTGGACATTTCCATTCGGCCCAGACGTAGAAGATATTACAGTTGTGGGCTTGTGTAAACATTTCGAGGGCTAACTATCAATTTGGGACTTTTGCAATTGACCCCGAGAGTCGTATTATTACTTGGCTTAATTTCCACACACAACATAAAATGTAAACAATCATCTCGTTTGGTTTGGATTGGTTTAAACAAATTTGCTGCAAACTTTAAATGTCATGGCGAATATATATTTTTCGCCTTAGATGCCAATTTTGACATTTGAGGGTACCACAAAAGTTGCTTTGTTGTAGCAATTCGCCGATGCGGTTACCTGTTAGATCTACCTTGGGCCGGTCATTCATCATTTTCGCCTCATTTTGTTGTCGTTAGTCGGAGGAGTCGGAGGTGTCGACATGTTCGGGGAATTGATGTCATTAGTAAAAAGCCCAAACGCAACAATACTTCACAATATGCTAGGAATTCGGAGCAAATTGTGATGTGCGTGTTTTATTCATTTTTTGGTTTTTTTGTTTGTAATCGGCCCTCAAGGAAATAATAAAGGATTTCCCTAAAAATAAGAAGTATGCTTTGCCGAGCCGACCATGTGCCCTAATATAAGGATATGATGCCTACAAAAACAGGAAGTTAATATGAGGTCCGTTTATATTCATATCTATTCTTAAATTTCTTTGCAGGAACGCTCATTGATTACTTTGTTTGGTGAATATTTGTAGGTGTCTCAATGAAATCCCAGTTATTAAGAGCATGTTTAGAGTGAATTACCAGTAAAAATTTAAATTTTTCGAAGCATCCGACCGCAATATTAGGGAAACGTGAGAATTGTGCATGGAGCTGTATTCCAGAATCACTGTAATCAAAGGTTCCATCATTTAGAAAATTTTTGATGGCATCCAAGCCGCTGCCACGAAGGCTTGCAGCATTGTATGGGTCCATGCAACCCTTTTACGGCCTGACTCTGTTGTATAGCTATTTTACTTTGCTGCTCCAACTTTTTACGGGAGCTATGACTCAGTTGGTCTTATCCAAACTTCCACTAGCCGCAGCTCCACCAGCCTTCTGTGGTCTCTTTGTATGGTTTGGGGAATTTACATCGGCTCTGCTACAAAGAGAGGTTTGGTATCCACCAAGTGGCTACTAGCTTGATTGCTGGGAATTCTAGGAGTGCTTTTACTGGCGGCGATATTGGTGCTATGTTCTTTCTTTGAGACCATTTGATCGGGAACACTTGCTACTGTTGTGCCATGTGCTGGAGTCGGTGTATGTTTTTCGCCTTAGATGCCAATTTTGACATTTGATGGTACCACAAAAGTTGCTTTGTTGTAGCAATTCGCCGATGCGGTTACCAGTTAAATCTACCTTCCTTCACCCCTAAACATACTGGCTATTGATCTCAATCCCATTCAGTAGGAAAAAATCGCACATAAAAACGCAACAGATATTCTGAATAGCAATTTTTTTATGGAAGCTGATATTCTATTTTAAATGACGTCATGGTAAGTACTTTTTGTACATATTTTTGCATAATTTTATTTCGCTAACAAAATGTCTATTTCTTCACAGATCCAGTGTATAAGCAGATAAACGATGTAGCTAAAGAATAAAAGGATTTTTGCTGTTGGGTGTTCTCTGGTGCAGACACTTTTCTCGACTGAGCTCCCATATACCTCCTTGATATAAACGGAATACAATTCCGTAGAGATGAATTCCGTGAAAAATGATAAGGATAAGATGGTTCACCCAACGGGTATATAGCAAAGCATCACCCATTCAAATTGGGACGTTCACGTAAGCAGATCTGGTGCTCCTATTGAGACTATTTATGTCCTTATGGTAGGGCATAACTTAAGTTAACTTTATGTTTTTGTTTATCATTGACTGTGTGTGCATGCTATTATTTATTAACCCAGTAAATTCGTCGAAACTAGATTTTGCAAATTTTTTGTTATGTGCCTCCAACAATTTTTACGGACTTCGTTACCATATTGTTTTTAGAACCACACATCTTTTATCTTGGTCTATTTCAAATTCCATTTTTTGTTTTACAGAAAAGAGTAATGACTGCATTGTTAAACATAATGCCCTATTTTTGGACATTGTACTTGATATGGAACAGCGCGCTATATTGTAAAAGTCTACATTCAAATATAACATATTGGGATTTTGATATACTGCATAAAGAAAACTTCAAAATATTACAACCTTGTACTAACTCTGCTTTTTGTTCCAGGTAGTTCGCTGTATTTCTATGAATGCAACATAAACAGCTGTATACTGTGGCCGTTTCCATTGCTGCTTTTATTACACATCACTCAACATGTCGTAGCAGTCCAACGGAAAATATTGACTTCGCGTTGAAGCAGTTCAGGTGAGTTTGCTGCAATTTTGTGTATCGTGTGGAAGATGAGGTTGATTGTGATTTGAAATTAATTAACTCGTGAAAGTGAAACTGTGTGCAACAGCCTGTGAAGGATTTACTTACAGTGAGGTAAACAATGAGATGCGACATTTTATCGCATGCTATACAAATAATCAAAACGATATTGTTAAAAACATATACGAACTTTTACGTGATGACATGATTGTTGAAAAGTGTTTGACTGTGAATATTTGAAATGCAATCGTATGTAGTTAATTGCTTTGGTAGCAGATAAAAAAATGTTCGTAATGGTTTCGCTAACAAATTGTTTAAATTTATTTATTTATTTTCTTGTCGTTTAAATCTCTCGCATGCGATTATTATTTGTGTATCTCGCATGCGATTATTATTTGTGTATCGCACCTTATAATCAGATGATTTTCTACAAAATTATTTATATAAAAAAATCAATTTAACGATTTTTTTATCTACTAAGCATGCATGCAAAAAAAAAATATCACATATGATGAAAGTGATTGCCGTTGTTACGCCTTTTCAACCTTATCTTCAGACGTTTATACTATTAGCATATATTATTACTCATAGTTTTATTTTAATTATGTGACAGCCACTTCTTGTCTGAAGTCAATAAATGAAAAGACAACAATCCTTTTCAGTATTATTTGTCCAGCTTTACACATGTTTTTTACTTTTGTATTTCTATGACCAGCTAATTCGAGTGAGCTGTTGTGAATAATAAAATGTAAATAAAATGATGAACATATGTTTCTAAAGGTACGGTCACACTGGGCAAATATTTGATCGAAATTTGTTTTCCCATATTTGACTAAACAAATGTGAAATTCATACAGAGTTGATTCGATGTTCACATTACAGTCAAATATTTGACAGATTTTGTTTGTGTAAGCTGTCACCAAACAGCGTCAAATAGTGCTATGGGAAAACATGTTTGACACGTGTTCACATTCGTAAAATATATTTTCCCATTAAATTGTTTGATCAAACTTTGAGGAAATATATTGGCCAACTATTCTATGCCAATACAGGGTCTCGACCAGGAACTTGTATAATATGTCACCAAAACGTATGTTCTCTTTTCTCCCACAGTTGTCAACATCGGATGCAACAGTACTAAGGCTGGGGAAAGGAAACATATACCTAGCGTCCGTTTACCTGCCGTTCGACGCGCCGACATCACCACCTTCGTAGGAACTGCAGCGGCTGGTGAGCAAAACAAAACAAACAGGTAACGAAGTATTAGTAGGTAGCGCTGCTAACTCTCACCACATTGCGTGTGGTAGTACTAACATTAATAAAAGGGGCCAGTCCCTACTAGATTATCTAAATACTAACGACCTAATAATTCTTAACATTGGGAGTAAGGCGACCTTTGTAAACAAAATTAGGGAGGAGATTTTAGACATTACTTTTTGTTCAGGACATCTTAAAAACGAGATTCAGAATTGGAGGGTTTCGGAAGAACACTCTTTCTCGGATCATAGGAATATAAGGTTTGAGCTAACACGGCCCTCCCGGAGCCAATAAGTTTTAGGAACAAATCCAAGACTGACTCGTAAAAGAGAGGCTAGGGCAGGGAATTGAATGCATAGGCACAGACGACGTAGACAGATATGTCAATAGGTTAACGGAGAACCTAGTAAAGTCTTTCGAGGAATGTTGTCCACTTCGAGAGAGAGGAAATCTACCTTCTGTCCTGATCACCAGTTGGAAATCAGAAAATCTCCAACTTTATTCTGCCAAAAACTGATTTTGAATTAAGTATAGATACGAAAATGTTGGTGAAGACGTCTTTAATTCTAATAGCCCATTTTGGGCGAGTTTTGAATAAGGCATCCTCCAGATCCGATCTTCTGTCCGGCCCCCAGTTGGAAATCAGAAAATCTCCAACTTTGTTCTACCAAAAACTGATTTTGGACTAAGTATTCGTACCAATATCCGTGAAGACCTCCTCTTTAATTATGTTATATTCCACCTTCAGTGGCGCTATGGTGTGGTTCGACTTGCTCAGACGGTGGCACTTTCAGGGGGTTCCCAACCCTGCCGCCACTAGCACAAGGGGAAGAACAATAAATATAAATTGTTGTACCTAACACACACATAAAACGAAACGATTACATATTTGACGTGCCACTATGACATGGAAGCTTGATGATAAACGCTTCCACACTGAGCCCGCCCAACCTGGACCCTTTCGTTCCCTATAATTATTCCTTTTTAAAGTGTCCCTTTTTCCACGCACTCTTTTACCCCAACACAGCATACCTCTAGCTTCCTCCCTCACATAAAATTTAGCACAACATAACGTAATTTACGTTTTCACACAACAAAAAACGACATTTATTGACATAGTCAGTTTATTTAACACTAATATTAATAAAACCTTGGTTTTGCTTATACTCTTACTAGGATCATTAACGCCGCATTTAAAAAAAAATTTGATGGAGTCATTGACTCAGATTACTTTCTGTTACGGATAGTTGCTCAGCCCACTCTTTTTATTTCGCTTGGCTTATTATACACACCTGCCTAACAGAGCTCTTTTAGTAGGTTTAGGACATCTTCAATTTGGCCCATAGGTTTAAAAAATTCAAGAAGGACTATCTGTACTTCAGGGGTACTACTGCACTCCTATAATATACCAGTCTGGCATTAATAACCCATCACAAATCAATTCACTTATGCACTATTCACACCAACTACTAATTAGCCTTCTTATAACTACACAAATAGTTTCATATATTGTGGAATTCCTTTTTTAAGATATCGCATTTGTGTGGTGATTAATATGTTTTTTTTTAATTTAAAAGCTGAATGATTTATTTAAGCGCTTTTTCTTATTTTCCATTCAGAACTTCTTTATGGCTTTATAGCTGCCCACAGTTATTGCGACACGGCATAGGCGAAATTCAAATCGGGGGATACCAATCCTCCATGGAAAAAGCAGACCTCCTCTCATGTACTTCTTGAGGAGGCCCACGTATATCTTGTTGTGATGGGCGCTTTCTGTTTGATTGTACGCCACATGCATTGGAGTGTTGATGCCCTGTCTTTGCATGGAACAGTTCGAGAATGGTTGTTGCTGCCGCTGCATATGTACACTGTTAACATGCGATACATTTTGGGCAATGTCGCTAGAGATGTTGGCGGGTGAATTCATACCATGTGGTGCAATTTTATTCAAGTCCTAGGTGTTGAGATTATGTCCAGCATTGGCCTTAATATGTAATTTATCGTGGACATTTCCATTCGGCCCAGACGTAGAAGATATTACAGTTGTGGGCTTGTGTAAACATTTCGAGGGCTAACTATCAATTTGGGACTTTTGCAATGGACCCCGAGAGTCGTATTATTACTTGGCTTAATTTCCACACACAACATAAAATGTAAACAATCATCTCGTTTGGTTTGGATTGGTTTAAACAAATTTGCCGCAAACTTTAAATGTCATGGCGAATATATATTTTTCGCCTTAGATGCCAATTTTGACATTTGAGGGTACCACAAAAGTTGCTTTGTTGTAGCAATTCGCCGATGCGGTTACCTGTTAGATCTACCTTGGGCCGGTCATTCATCATTTTCGCCTCATTTTGTTGTCGTTAGTCGGAGGAGTCGGAGGTGTCGACATGTTCGGGGAATTGATGTCATTAGTAAAAAGCCCAAACGCAACAATACTTCACAATATGCTAGGAATTCGGAGCAAATTGTGATGTGCGTGTTTTATTCATTTTTTCGTTTTTTTGTTTGTAATCGGCCCTCAAGGAAATAATAAAGGATTTCCCTAAAAATAAGAAGTATGCTTTGCCGAGCCGACCATGTGCCCTAATATAAGGATATGATGCCTACAAAAACAGGAAGTTAATATGTGGTCCGTTTATATTCATATCTATTCTTAAATTTCTTTGCAGGAACGCTCATTGATTACTTTGTTTGGTGAATATTTGTAGGTGTCTCAATGAAATCCCAGTTATTAAGAGCATGTTTAGAGTGAATTACCAGTAAAAATTTAAATTTTTCGAAGCATCCGACCGCAATATTAGGGAAACGTGAGAATTGTGCATGGAGCTGTATTCCAGAATCAAAGGTTCCTTCATTTAGAAAATTTTTGATGGCATCCAAGCCGCTGCCACGAAGGCTTGCAGCATTGTATGGGTCCATGCAACCCTTTTACGGCCTGACTCTGTTGTATAGCTATTTTACTTTGCTGCTCCAACTTTTTACGGGAGCTATGACTCAGTTGGTCTTATCCAAACTTCCACTAGCCGCAGCTCCACCAGCCTTCTGTGGTCTGTGGAAACTCTTTGTATGGTTTGGGGAATTTGCATCGGATCTGCTACAAAGAGAGGTTTGGTATCCACCAAGTGGCTACTAGCTTGATTGCTGGGAATTCTAGGAGTGCTTTTACTGGCGGCGATATTGGTGCTATGTTCTTTCTCTGAGACCATTTGATCGGGAACACTTGCTACTGTTGTGCCATGTGCTGGAGTCGGTGTATGTTTTTCGCCTTAGATGCCAATTTTGACATTTGAGTGTACCACAAAAGTTGCTTTGTTGCAGCAATTCGCCGATGCGGTTACCAGTTAAATCTACCTTTCTTCACCCCTAAACATACTGGCTATTGATCTCAATCCCATTCAGTAGGAAAAAATCGCACATAGAAACGCAACAGATATTCTGAATAGCAATTTTTTTATGAAAGCTGATATTCTATTTTAAATGACGTCATGGTAAGTACTTTTTGTATATATTTTTGCATAATTTTATTTCGCTAACAAAATGTCTATTTCTTCACAGATCCAGTGTATAAGCAGATAAACGATGTAGCTAAAGAATAAAAGGATTTTTGCTGTTGGGTGTTCTCTGGTACAGACACTTTTCTCGACTGAGCTCCCATATACCTCCTTGATATAAACGGAATACAATTCCGTAGAGATGAATTCCGTGAAAAATGATAAGGATAAGATGGTTCACCCAACGGGTATATAGCAAAGCATCACCCATTCAAATTGGGACGTTCACGTAAGCACACCTGGTGCTGCTATTGAGACTATTTATATCCTTATGGTAGGGCATAACTTAAGTTAACTTTATGTTTTTGTTTATCATTGACTGTGTGTGCATGCTATTATTTATTAACCCAGTAAATTCGTCGAAACTAGATTTTGCAAATTTTTTGTTATGTGCCTCCAACAATTTTTACGGACTTCGTTACCATATTGTTTTTGCAACCACACATCTTTTATCTTGGTCTATTTCAAATTCCATTTTTTGTTTTACAGAAAAGAGTAATGACTGCATTGTTGAAAATATTGCCCTATTTTTGGACATTATACTTGATATGGAACAGCGCGCTATATTGTAAAAGTCTACATTCAAATACAACATATTGGGATTTTGATATACTGCATAAAGAAAACTTCAAAATATTATAACCTTGTACTAACTCTGCTTTTTGTTCCAGGTAGTTCGCTGTATTTCTATTAATGCAACATAAACAGCTGTATACTGTGGCCGTTTCCATTGCTGCTTTTATTACACATCACTCAACATGTCGTAGCAGTCCAACGGAAAATATTGACTTCGCGTTGAAGCAGTTCAGGTGAGTTTGCTGCAATTTTGTGTATCGTGTGGAAGATGAGGTTGATTGTGATTTGAAATTAATTAACTCGTGAAAGTGAAACTGTGTGCCACAGCCTGTGAAGGATTTACTTACAGTGAGGTAAACAATGAGATGCGACATTTTATCGCATGCTATACAAATAATCAAAACGATATTGTTAAAAACATATACGAACTTTTACGTGATGACATGATTGTTGAAAAGTGTTTGACTGTGAATATTTGAAATGCAATCGTATGTAGTTAATTGCTTTGGTAGCAGATAAAAAAATGTTCGTAATGGTTTCGCTAACAAATTGTTTAAATTTATTTATTTATTTTCTTGTCGTTTAAATCTCTTGCATGCGATTATTATTTGTGTATCTCGCATGTGATTATTATTTGTGTATCGCACCTTATAATCAGATGATTTTCTACAAAATTATTTATATAAAAAAAATCAATTTAAAGATTTTTTTATCTACTAAGCATGCATTCAAACAAAAAAAAATATCACATATGATGAAAGTGATTGCCGTTGTTACGCCTTTTCAACCTTATCTTCAGACGTTTATACTATTAGCATATATTATTACTCATAGTTTTATTTCTATTATGTGAAAGCCACTTCTTGGCTGAAGTCAATAAATGAAAAGACAACAATCCTTTTCAGTATTATTTGTCCAGCTTTACACATGTTTTTTACTTTTGTATTTCTATGACCAGCTAATTCGAGTGAGCTGTTGTGAATAATAAAATGTAAATAAAATGATGAACATATGTTTCTAAAGGTACGGCCACACTGGGCAAATATTTGATCGAAATTTGTTTTCCCATATTTGACTAAACAAATGTGAAATTCATACAGAGTTGATTCGATGTTCACATTACAGTCAAATATTTGACAGATTTTGTTTGTTCAAGCAGTCACCACACAGCGTCAAATAGTGCTATGGGAAAACATGTTTGACACGTGTTCACATTCGTAAAATATATTTTCCCATTAAATTGTTTGATCAAACTGTCAGGAAACATAAGTTTATTTGGCCGAGAGAAATAGACAGAGAGGGTGAAAGAGAGACATAAAGAAAATGGAGTTTATTTGGAGAAGGGAAGCAAAAGACCAGCTGTTGTGGAATAAATTCCTTGTCAGAACTTTTTTTTTGCATTTTTTTTATGTTTGTATCATGGTAGAAAAATACAGGTAGTCGCATCGACATAGCTGCTGGGACAATGAACTGTCAAAACAATTTTGGCATTGAAAATAATCAATGAAATATTATTGAAATTTGTAAAAATTGTTTAAAAATACATATCAATACAACCTCCGTTTTGCATCGTATAAGAAAACATAGAACAAACTACTTATTTTTGTCAAAACATTTCAAAATTTTTGACATATCAATGTTTCAAGCGTTGATGCATATACCTATATCCTGTTACAGAACCTGGAAGAATCTACTAGTTTCGCAATTTTTTTTTATATAATAGAAGGAAAATCGGTTATCGTAGTAAAAACATTTGCACTTTTGCAGTTCTGGAAAAGACCATATATTAAAAATTTTACTAAACATTAATTTAAAAATATCAAATAAACAAAACCACTTATTGTATTCGTTTGTTTTTCTATTCATTAAACATCATGTTACAAATGCTCTTGTTCTTAAAGCAAAATGCTGCCCAAGGTTTTAAACTGATATTTTTCCTTGTTTGACCTTACAAAACATTTGCACCGTCAAATGAATGTTTGACCCAAAAAGAGGAAAATAATTGATCATATGTGTTCACATTATGGACACACTGGTCAAATTATTGTTTTCTGGCAAATAATTTTGTTTTCCCAAAATCAGCTGTTTTTGTATTTACCGTCAAATAATATTTGGTGGTCAGATTGTGACAAAGAAATATTTCAAATTTTTCGTCAAATATTTGCCCAATGTGACCTTACCTTTAGGGTCATTATTACATGTTTTATTTTACTATTGGATTGAATTTGAAAACACAAAATAAAACAATTTGGAGGCAGTAAAAGTATAATTTTTGGATTATAAGCTAACATAGGGAAGGCCCAGCATGAAATTAAAAGATAACTTTCAACTTCAAGACAGCTGGAGTGTTATGAATCTGTACGAAAACTCCAATCTATTACAAAGAAAGACCAATAATGAAGGAGTTAAAGTTTTAAAAACTTATTGCGAATGAATCATTATAATGTCGGACTTATAACTAATTGTATTGGTTTATACTCCAGTTCTAATATCATTATTAGGAATAAGTAATTATACACAATTATTACAAAAAAAGTAATCATTGATGGTACTGCCATCTAGACAGCGCCATCTAGATGTTCCATTTAGCAGTATCATAAGTCAGGATTCACCATGGTTATAATGGGGTTATGATTTCAACTCTGAAACTTATCCATATGCAGTCTGACCTCTGCCTTGAGTGGTATTTCAAGTCATTGCAGTTATTGAAGTCGTCAGAAAAGTGTCATAAATTGTGAGGTTATCACTTTGAAAAGGAAACATAATCAGAGTTCGTGATTAAATCTGACGATACCGTTATTGACCAAGACAGTACCAAGTTACTTAATTGTCCCTAAATTTTAATTAAATCAAATATTCATATAAAGTGGAAATATTCAAAAATAATTATTGAGTGTAATTGGGTAAAGAATATCAAAATTTACCGAAAAGGTCTTTAAAATATACTTCTCTTGGGTGAGCATATGTTTCATAATTGTTCAAAATTATTGAATAAATTGTGATTTAAGAAGATACTGAAAAATTTCTCATATTTCATTCAGAATATTGTGGTCGAATTTCAAAGAAATCTGCTTGAAGATTTGCCACAATATTCCAATTTAGGTCGGATGAGAACCCTACCAGAAATTTTATTCTAATTGTAACGAGCAGATGGCGACTCAATCTAAATTAAAATTGGTGCTTGTGATTACACCAAAAGTTGTAGTCTTGGCTAACTTCAAGAAAATTTGCTATTTACCACCAGTCATTGTAAAGAATACGAGTGAGTACACCAAAACAGAAATAAAAAGATAAGTGTAAATACAGCTTAAATTACTACAAGCAAGTACGTAACAGAAAATCTTACAGAAATTGTTTCAAAGTGATCCTCATATGTTAAATATGAAGAAAACTCGTTAACTACAAAATATTATTTGAAACAACCACAAAATCCTCTTTCACGCGGTTATAAACAGCCATATATCAAAATTCAATAACCTAACTTTCATTTACACCTACATGTGGAAATTCAATATACCTAACCTTAAAGGAGAATTTTAGGCGCTTTGATTTATTTATCAATTTAAAAATCAATTTAACGATTTTTTTTATTTACTAAGCATGCATGCAAACAAAAAAATATCGCATATGGTGAAAGTGATTGCCGTTGTTACGCCTTTTCAACCTTATCTTCCGACGTTTATACTATTAGCATATATTATTACTCATAGTTTTTTTGTATTATGTGACAGCTACTTCTTGACTGAAGTCAATAAATGAAAAGACAACAATCCTTTTCAGTATTATTTGTCCAGCTTTACACATGTTTTTTTTTTTTACTTTTGTATTTCTATGACCAGCCAGTTTGAGTGAGCTGTTGTGAATAATAAAATGTAAATAAAAGGATGAACATATGGTTCTAAGTGTTGTAAAATGTTTATTTTTTTTTTAGGTGCAAATAGGTTTACACCAAAACTCTTGTGAGTTGACAAACAGTTGTACGACAAATCTTTTCGACAAATATATATATATATATATATATATATAAACCTATTTGTAGCTATTAATATGTTTAAATATAAATATGTTTTTTTATATAATAAAGTTGTCGAAAATACTTTCGAAAAAGTTCTTTTTCCTTTTGATTGTTTGTTTTTTTTTTTTCTTAAATCTAATTTGATAAAAATATTTGTTTGTTTGTTCTTTTATCATAAATTTATTTATATGGTATATTGGTACTAAATAATATTTTTTTAAATAAATTTAATCGTTTGTAAACGAACATTTTTTTTATTTTTATGGTGTCTTGATTATTTTAAATTTATATATATATATATATATATATATATATATACATATATATATATATATATATATATATATATATATATATATATATATATATATATATATATATATTAATATGTTTAAATATAAATATGTTTTTTTATATAATAAAGTTGTCGAAAATACTTTCGAAAAAGTTCTTTTTCCTTCTGATTGTTTGTTTTTTTTTTTTCTTAAATCTAATTTGATAAAAATATTTGTTTGTTTTTTCTTTTATCATAAATTTATTTATATGGTATATTGGTACTAAATAATATTTTTTTAAATAAATTTAATCGTTTGTAAACGAACATTTTTTTTCTTTTTATGGTGTCTTGATTATTTTAAATTTATATATATATATATATATATATATATATATATATATATATATATATATATATATATATATTTATATATATATATATATATATATATAAACCTATTTGTAGCTATATATATATATATATATATATATATATATATATATATATATATATATATATATATATATATATATATATATATATATATATATATATATATATATATATATATATATATATAAATTTAAAATAATCAAGACACCATAAAAAGAAAAAAAATGTTCGTTTACAAACGATTAAATTTATTTAAAAAAATATTATTTAGTACCAATATACCATATAAATAAATTTATGATAAAACAAAAAACACACAAATATTTTTATCAAATTAGATTTAAGAAAATAAAAAAAAAAAAAGGAAAAAGAACTTTTTCGAAAGTATTTTCGACAACTTTATTATATAAAAAAACATATTTATCTGTTGAAAATAATAACAATAATAATAGTTTTCAATCAAAGAAATATATAAGCAAAACAAGAATTATTAATATTTGTGTTTTTACATAATAAAATTGTCATTAAAAAATGCATTCTTAAATTTCTTATTAAATATTAATTATCATAATATTTATTAATATTCATATCGAAAGAAAACAGTAAATAATAAGAAAAGAAGTTGTTACAATTAAATAATATAGAAAAAAACCTTTATGACATGAAAAATCTATATAAAATAATTTAAGTTAAAATTACTTGAAAAACTGTGTATAGAAAAATAACAAAAATTGAACAAATACATAAATGTGTATTTCTAAAATAATTAATTATATTAAGAATACAAGGTAAACAACGAATTAATATTTATATATAAGCATAAAAATAGTATTATATTGTCAAAAAAAAAAAAAAAAAAAAACGATTACCTGAAAAGAGTCGAAAAATAAGAAAAAAATATTAACATATTTTAACAAACAAAAAAATAATTAAAGTTGATACATGTACATTTATGTACAATTATTATTTATATTAATTTCCAAATTAACATTAACATACAATGCTCAACAAATATCCTTTAGGTTCTATTTTTTGTCTTAAAGACAGCTAATAATCCTACTAATGCTCAAAATCAGATGAATAATATGCAATCGCCTGCACAAGATGCAAACAGGACAGTGGTTGAAACAGGTATTCCACAGCTTATGTACATAAACCCTTCTTTACCTACGTGTCCACAAACTTCTACAGATCCTCGCACATCATCACCTGAACCGAATAGTTCAATAACAAGACCACCGTATAGCATATTAACAGGTTTACAGAAGAACAAAACATCCCTCCGGGAACTTCTGCTGTTAACGACAACCTCAATTTAAAAGCACCGTTAACTAGCAATAATGGTCCAAGCCTTAGGGAATTCATAAGTGCTTCTGTAAGAGTTGCCCAATCAGAGGCATTACAAGCGATGGAAAACAGAATCGTACGAATGATTCCACATATAATTAGAAGTTCAATGAACTCCTTTAAAACTGAAATTGAAACTGAACCAGAACCACAACGGCAAAGTAGACAAAATGACAACCCACATTTGCCACCACCAATACAGCCAACATTTCCACAAAATCAACCTTAAAATCATAGGGAACAATTTTCACAAAATTTTAACCAAAATTTCCAACTCGTTTATAAGCCTATCACACCTTTACAACTCCAAAAAAATGGGGATTGAGATTCGACGGCTCTGCAAAGTCAGTAAGTGTAGAAGAGTTTGTTTTTAGAGCTGAGTCTTTAAGATTAGATTATAACTGTCCTTTAAGTGTATTTGTAAAAGGATTTCACCACTTACTCGCAGGAAGAGCCTACGATTGGATTTGGTCGTTTAGGCAACAAAACCCTGTATGTGAATGGGATCATTTAAAATACCATTTTATTCGGAAATTTCGAAAGTTTTAAAGTGATTTCGAAATACAAAGAAAGATAATAGATCGTCGACAGCTTCCATCGGAAACTGCCGGCATCTATATATCAGAAATCGTTAGATTCAAGAACTAGATGAGAATACCAATACCTGAGTTTTAAATCGTCAAGATAATAAAAGACAACATCAAAGGAGGACTTGCCCAACTTATCTATGCCAAATACATAGATACAATAGAAGACCTTCTAGAAGAGTGTAAGAGGGCTGAAGTCACGATTTCAAAAAGACAAGCTTTTAGACACTAGCATCCACATCAGAATTCCAGACGAGTTTATGAACTTGAACTTGATTCTAACGAATTCTCTAAAGCTTTGTATAACAGCAAAACAGCAAAACAATACCAACTAAACAGATCACTTGTTGGAACTGTAAGGAAACAGGACATACTTTTATTGATTGTGAATTGGACCAACGTAACAAATTTTGTTACAGATGTGGGTTCGAAAACAAGTTGAAGAACATGGGAAAGGCTGGGAGTACATGTTCTCAACAGGATTCAGCCCAGTGAAAGCAACTGAACATGAATTTCCAACTCATAATCAAAATACCCAGCAAGACAAGAAAATTCCAAATATATACAGTAACAAATATTCAAATTTGACAAACCAAACGAAGAAATTAAAAATTATTATTCCATATGAGAAAAGACTAGAAAATTACAATAAAGTAATGGCAGAAATCTTCAACGATTTTATATCTCAGGTAAGCAAAAAGGTAGCTAAAGCAAGACAGACTTATAAACACAGAACGCAAGAAAAAAATGAAATAGCTTCCGCTTGTCTAGAGGTAGAAAATGACATAAGACCTTATTGGAATGTCAAAATAAACGGTTCTGAATTCGTAGGTCTTATGGACAGCGGCGCTTCTCTGAGTTGCCTCTGCAAAGATTGCCTAGAGAATGCCGAAAGATAAATGAAAAAATATCGAACTTTAAATCTTGCATAAAAACTGCAGATGGCAAGCAACAAGACATAATAGGCAAAATTAAAGTCAATGTTAATTCCGGTAATAAAACTAAAGAAATTAAAAAAAAATTCTTGGATGTGACTTTTGGCAGCAGCTAAATGTCAAAATATCATTTGAACAAGACATAAACGATTTATGTGACGATATTACAGATTTAGTAGAGGATATAAAAATGCATAAGCTCACATATGAAGAGAATATAAGACTGGAGAATGTAAAACTCTCATTTCAGTGCTATAAAAAATTCGGATTAGGGAAAACTCATTTGGAACAGCATGCGATAGATGTCGGAAATTCTATTCCGAGAAAAATGAGATATTATCCCGTCAGCCCAGCTGTACAAAAACTTTTGAACGCTAAACTTGACCGTATGCTAGAGTTAGACATTATAGGAGTAGCCCGAAATGCTGAGTGAAACAATAGGGTCACACTTGTCATATAGCCGAATAAGAACAGATTGTGTCTTGACGCGAGGGAATTAAATAGAGTAACAAGGAAATATGCCTACCCTTTGCCGAACATAGACGGTTTACTGGCAAGACTAGGTGACACTCACTTCATATCAGCCATCGATCTAAAGGACGCATCTTGGCAAATTCCACTGTAGGAATCAAGTCGCCCCTTGACAGCGTTCACAGTCCACGGTAGACCTCACTACCAATTTAAGTTTATGCCTTTCAGACTGTGCAATGCTGCCCAAAGGATGTGCAGACACATGACAGGGACATAAAACCTCCTAAATCACAGAAAGATGTCAGAAAATTTTTAGGTACCGTAGGATGGTATAGAATATTCATCCACGACTTCTCTACACTTACAGCTCCTTTAACAGACACGTTAAAGAAAAGTCCAAAATTCGTTATGACATCAGAAGCCCTTGATTCGTTTGAAAAGTTGAAGAATTGTTTAGTGTCTAGTCCTATAATGTCAAGTCCTGACTTCACTAGACCATTCTACGTTCAGTGTGACGCATCAAACGTCGGTGTTGGCGCTGTTCTTTTTCAGAAAAATGACGAAGAAGGAGAACATGCTATCGAATATTTGTCCAAGAAACTGAACAGTGCTCAACGAAACTATTCAACGACGGAAAAAGAATGTCTAGCAGTCATACTCGCAATAGAAAGATTTAGACAATTCATAGAACTTATGGAATTTACGGTAATAACCGACCATTCCAGCCTACAATAGCTGATGAGGCAGAAAGATTTAAATGTCCGACTCCCAAGATGGAGTTTAAAACTTCAAGGGTATACCTTTACGATAGAACATCTCAAAGGTACTAAAAATGTTGTACCCGACATGCTTTCACGCATGCATATGAAGGAAATTACGACAGACACTGCTTCAATAATAGACTTCAATTCAGACGAATTCAAAAATGAAAATTACTTGACTCTACTTGACACAATAGAGCAAAACAAAC